GTGTCACTTTGGGGCCCTTTTTGGGAAAGGCCTCTGATAAAACAGTATGCTTATTGGGAATAGGGGGGGCCATTCTCTGATCAACAGTAGTGCTCTATATAGGGAATAGGGTGCCATTTGGGATGCATCCTTCATTTCAATTCATTTCCCAGGGAGAGAAAGTGGCAGTTTGTCCTGGGCCCAGAAAACCTCCAGCCCCTTTAGAAAACCCCCAGCCTGATCGCTGGATTATGAACACATATCTCTATCTCTAAACACAGAACGGAACATGGAACACAGCGACATACATCCACCATTTAATTAGTAGGTTTTTCCTGTGCAGATAACATGTATACAGTGAGGCTGTTTTGACAGAGGTTCAGAGCTCTTGGTACGGTACGGTCGGTAGGGTAACTAACCGCTCTCTTGGCTCAGAGAGTCTAAACACTGTGTGTTAGAGAGCACAGGAAGTTGAAGCAGTAAATGTTATTTTTCTGTCTGTGTCGGCCTTTAATGGGAGAGAAACACCTCAGTAATCATTAAGCAAACATCTTGTAGCTGTCGCCGGTCGGGCAAAGGGAGGGATGTGGGGAGAGTACGGCTGTCAGATTTCACACTTCTAAAAGCTGAGCTCCGTTGGCAGCCCCCTGACAGAATATCTCTCTCTCTCTCTCTCTCTCTCTCTCTCTCTCTCATTAGTAATATGATGTTTGCGCTGTATTGCTCTCTCCTGCCCGCTGTGCCAAACTTTATCTAAATGCAAGGCCCCATCTGTCAATATACAGTTGAAGTCGGAAGTTTACATACACTTAGGTTGGAGTCATTAAAACTCGTTTTTCAACCACTCCACAAACTATAGTTTTGGCAAGTCAGTTAGGACATCTACTTTGTGCATGACACAAGTCATTTTTCCAACAATTGTTTAAAGACAGATTATTTCACTTATAATTCACTGTATCACAATTCCAGTGGGTCAGAAGTTTACATACACTAAGTTTACTGTGCCTTTAACCAGCTTGGAAAATTCCAGAAAATGATGTCATGGCTTTAGAAGCTTCTGATAGGCTAATTGACATCATTTGAGTCAATTGGATGTGTACCTGTGGATGTATTTCAAGACCTTCAAACTCAGTGCCTCTTTGCCTGACATCATGGGAAAATGAAAAGAAATCAGCCAAGACCTCAGAAATTTTTTTTGGGACCTCCACAAGTCTGGTTCATCCTTGGGAGCAATTTCCAAACGCCTGACGGTACCACGATCATCTGTACAAACAATAGTACGCAAGTATAAACACCATGGGACCACGCATCCGTCATACCGCTCAGGAAGGAGACGCGTTCTGTCTCCTAGAGGTGAACGTACTTTGGTGTGAAAAGTGCAAATCAATCCCAGAACAACAGCAAAGGACCTTCAGAAGATGCTGGAGGAAACAGGTACAAAAGTATCTATATCCACAGTAAAACGAGTCCTATATCGACATAACCTGAAAGGCCGCTCAGCAAGGAAGACGCCACTGCTCCAAAACCGCCATAAAAAAGCCAGACTACGGTTTGCAACTGCACATGGGGACAAATATCGTACTTTTTGGAGAAATGTCCTCTGGTCTGATGAAACAAAAATAGAACTGTGGTGGCAGCATCATGCTGAGGGGGTGCTTTGCTGCAGGAGGGACTGGTGCACTTCACAAAATAGATGACCTCAATCCTATAGAAAATTTGTGGGCAGAACTGAAAAAGCGTGTGTGAGCAAGGAGGCCTACAAACCTGACTCAGTTACACCAGCTCTGTCAGGAGGAATGGGCCAAAATTCACCCAACTTATTGTGGGAAGCTTGTGGAAGGCTACCCAAAACATTTGACCCAAGTTAAACAATTTAAAGGCAATGCTACCAAATACTATTGAGTGTATGTAAACTTCTGAAATAAATAAAAGCTGAAATAAATCATTCTCTCTACTATTATTCTGACATTTCACATTCTTGAAATAAAGTGGTGATCCTAACTGACCTAAGACAGGGAATTTTTACTAGGATTAAATGTCAGGAATTGTGAAAAACTGAGTTTAAATGTATTTGGCTAAGGTGTATGTAAACTTCCGACTTCAACTGTACCTGGTAAAATAATGGTTCACAAACAACTCTGATTTTTCCCACAAATTATGCTTTATATTTTCCCAAATTATGTTCTCAGTTATATTTTTCACTCTTGAAATTACAATTGTTCATAGAGAAACAACGAAATTGGAGGTTCTAAGTCAATGTCAATGCTTAAATCAGGTGAACTGAATCTGGTGAACTAAACACTTTGTTGTCAGAGTTAGATGCTGTTCTGTTGAACTAAACACTTCACTAATTCAGTTACAGTACAATTCCCAACCTGTTGAATGTTTGCCATGAACGTCCTGTAGTAGAGGTTAGAGAGAGATTACTGTCAGGAGAAAGAGAGAGGTTACTGTCAGGAGAAAGAGAGAGGTTACTGTCAGGAGAAAGAGAGAGGTTACTGTCAGGAGAAAGAGAGAGATTACTGTCAGGAGAAAGAGAGAGATTACTGTCAGGAGAAAGAGAAGGTTACTGTCAGGAGAAAGAGGAGATTACTGTCAGGGGAGAAAGAGAAAGGTTACTGTCAGGAGAAAGAGAGAGGTTACTGTCAGGAGAAATAGAGAGGTTACTGTCAGGAGAAAGAGAGAGGTTACTGTCAGGAGAAAGAGAGAGATTACTGTCAGGAGAAAGAGAGAGATTACTGTCAGGAGAAAGAGAGAGATTACTGTCAGGAGAAAGAGAGAGGTTACTGTCAGGAGAAAGAGAGAGGTTACTGTCAGGAGAAAGAGAGAGGTTACTGTCAGGAGAAAGAGAGAGATTACTGTCAGGAGAAAGAGAGAGATTACTGTCAGGAGAAAGAGAGAGGTTACTGTCAGGAGAAAGAGAGGGGTTACTGTCAGGAGAAAGAGAGAGATTACTGTCAGGAGAAAGAGAGAGATTACTGTCAGGAGAAAGAGAAGGGTTACTGTCAGGAGAAAGAGAAGGGTTACTGTCAGGAGAAAGAGAGGGGTTACTGTCAGTAGAAAGAGAGAGATTACTGTCAGGAGAAATAGAGAGGTTACTGTCAGGCGAACAGAGAGAGGTTACTGTCAGGAGAAAAGAGAGAGATTACTGTCAGGGAAAGAGAGAGATTACTGTCAGGAGAAGAGAGAGGTTTCTGTCAGGAGAAAGAGAGATTACTGTCAGGAGAAAGAGAGGGGTTACTGTCAGGAGAAAGAGCAATGATTACTGGTCAGGATAAAGAGAGAGGTTACTGGTCAGGAGAAAGAGAGGGGTTACTGTCAGGAGGAAACGAGATGAGGTTACCATGTCAGGAGAAAGAGGAGAGATTACTTTCAGTTAGGAAAACGAGATTATGGTCAGGAAAAATAGAGGGGTTACTGTCAGGTAGAAAGAGAGAGGTTACTGTCAGGAGATAAGAGAGAGGTTAACTGTCAGGAGAAGATGAGAGATTCCTGTCAGGAGGAAAGAGAGAGATTACTGTTCAGGTAGAAAGAGAGAGATTACTGTCAGGAGAAGAAAGGAAAGAGAGAGGTTACTGTCAGGAGAAAGAGAGAGATTACTGTCAGGAGAAAGAGAGAGATTACTGTCAGGAGAAAGAGAGAGGTTACTGTCAGGAGAAAGAGAGGGGTTACTGTCAGGAGGAAAGAGAGAGGGTTACTGGTCAGGAGAAAGAGAGAGATTACTGTCTGGAGAAAGTGAGAGGTTACTGTCAGGAGAAAGAGAGAGGTTACTGTCAGGAGAAAGAGCGAGATTACTGTCAGGAGAAGAGAGAGGTTACTGTCAGGAGAAAGAGAGAGGTTACTGTCAGGAGAAAGAGAGAGATTACTGTCAGGAGAAAGAGAGAGGTTACTGTCAGGACGAAAGAGAGAGATTACTGTCAGGAGAAAGAGAGAGGTTACTGTCAGGAGAAAGAGAGAGATTACTGTCAGGAGAAAGAAGAGAGAGATTTACTGTCAGGAGAAAGAGAAGGGTTACTGTCAGGAGAAAGAGAGAGATTACTGTCAGGAGAAAGAGAGAGGTTACTGTCAGGAGAAAGAGAGAGATTACTGTCAGGAGAAAGAGAGAGGTTACTGTCAGGAGAAAGAGAGGGGTTACTGTCAGGAGAAAGAGAGAGGTTACTGTCAGGAGAAAGAGAGGGGTTACTGTCAGGAGAAAGAGAGAGGTTACTGTCAGGAGAAAGAGAGAGATTACTGTCAGGAGAAAGAAGAGAGGTTACTGTCAGGAGAAAGAGAGGGGTTACTGTCAGGAGAAAGAGAGAGGTTACTGTCAGGAGAAAGAGAGAGATTACTGTCAGGAGAAATAGAGAGGTTACTGTCAGGGGAAAGAGAGAGGTTACTGTCAGGAGAAATGCTGCCCAATCAGAAGATATCATCGATTTAGGATATCAAGATATCACAGTCCATAAGCGAGATGACTGGGACAGAATTATTCTCTGTGTACTTGAGGAGTGTGTGTGTGTATTCTGTAGAGACTACAGACAGGCCTGGATACAGAGAGACTACAGACAGGCCTGGATACAGAGAGACTACAGACAGGCCTGGATACAGAGAGACTACAGACAGGCCTGGATACAGAGGACTATGAAAACACAAGGCCTGGATACAGAGACACTATGAAAACACAAGGCCTGGATACAGAGAGACTATGAAAACACAAGGCCTGGATACAGAGAGACTATGAAAACACAAGGCCTGGATACAGAGACACTATGAAAACACAAGGTCTGGATACAGAGACACTATGAAAAGAAACAGGAAACTCACAGGAACACTAAAACAATATAACAGCAACACACAACAGAATCCCAGAGTTAGTTGCAGTACCTGTCTGAGTCCTTGGATACGTGTGGCCATGGCAACTGGCTGCTGCTCTTGACCAGGGGGTCAAACCCATTCCATGTAGGGCCTAGTGTCTGTGGGTTTTGTGTTTTTTCCTTTCAATTAAGACCTAGACAACCAGGTGAGGGGAGTTCCTTACTAATTAGTGACCTTAATTCATCAATCAAGTACAAGGGAGGAGTGAAAACCTGCAGACACTCGGCCCTCCGTGGAATGAGTTTGACACCTGTTGTAGGTCATAGAAGTCTGTCGTTATACACCACACACACACACACACACACACACACACACACCACACACACACACATCACACATCACACATCACACATCACACATCACATCACACCACACACACACACATACCACACATACACACACACACAAGCTGTACTGTACCTGTCTGTGTCCTTGCTGACGTAGGGCCATGGTGGTTGGCTGTTGTTCTTCAGACCATAGAAGTCTGCCAGTATGTGTTCCTGGCTGTCCTCCAACCCAGCCTGGTTCCTGTTCACTATCTGTTTGATCACAGCGGTGGAGATGGGCACCGCACAGTGAGACGCATCCTCTTCCTCCCTGCAAGAGAAAAACACACACACACACACACACACACACCACACACACACACACACACACACACACACACACACACACACACACACACAGGTTAGTCTTCATATAAAAACACACAGTTTCTGTGTGCCTCAGTTGGTCCAGTGTGGCGCCAGCAACGTGAGTTTGATTCCCACTGTCTGGGGTGAAATATTATCTCAACGTTTTCTACAGACACCCCAGTACAGTCAGTATCCACTCTGTGCTACTCTGTGGATCCTAACTGACCCCTACTAAAGTGGAAACAAACGACATGGTTGACTGGGGTCTAAAGTAGAAACCAAAGCCATGGTTAACTGGGGTCTAAAGTAGAAACCAAAGCCATGGTTAACTGGGGTCTAAAGTAGAAACCAAAGCCATGGTTAACTGGGGTCTAAAGTAGAAACCAAAGCCATGGTTAACTGGGGTCTAAAGTAGAAAACCAAAGCCATGGTTAACTGGGGTCTAAAGTAGAAACCAAAGCCATGGTTAACTGGGGTCTAAAGTAGAAACCAAAGCCATGGTTAACTGGGGTCTAAAGTAGAAACCAAAGCCATGGTTAACTGGGGTCTAAAGTAGAAACCAACGCCATGGTTAACTGGGTCTAAAGTAGAAACCAAAGCCATGGTTAACTGGGGTCTAAAGTAGAAACCAAAGCCATGGTTAACTGGGGGTCTAAAGTAGAAACCAAAGCCATGGTTAACTGGGGTCTAAAGTAGAAACCAAAGCCATGGTTAACTGGGGTCTAAAGTAGAAACCAAAGCCATGGTTAACTGGGGTCTAAAGTAGAAACCAAAGCCATGGTTAACTGGGGTCTAAAGTAGAAACCAACGCCATGGTTAACTGGGGTCTAAAGTAGAAACCAAAGCCATGGTTAACTGGGGTCTAAAGTAGAAACCAAAGCCATGGTTAACTGGGGTCTAAAGTAGAAACCAAAGCCATGGTTAACTGGGGTCTAAAGTAGAAACCAAAGCCATGGTTAACTGGGGTCTAAAGTAGAAACCAAAGCCATGGTTAACTGGGGTCTAAAGTAGAAACCAAAGCCTTGTTAACTTGGTCGGGTGGTCTAGTTATTTCCTGCCTGGCGGGGTGTCTTTCAGCAGGTCTGGGGATCAGAGAGGGTGACCCAGCCTAGCAGCACTAAATAAATAACCCTATAGAATACTTTAGATACTTTAGATCCAGACAATAGAAGACCGTGGCTTTAGAACTACGACAAGCATCTACCTGTCACTCTACCAGTTCTACTTGGACTGGTGAGACCCCTCCCCTCCCTCCTCGGCCCGGGGTTGAAACAGAACTGTATGTCTGCGTCCCAAATGGCACCATATTCCCTATAGAGCCCTGGTTAAAAGTAGTGCACTATGTAGGGAATAGGGTGCCATTTGGAATGTAGCCTCTGTTTATTAATAGAGTCCATTGTGCTTTTAAAGGAAAGTGGAGTAATAAAGCAATGGATGGTGGAGAACAGGCCAGAGAGACAGCCTGATGATGGATGGTGGAGAACAGGCTAGAGAGACAGCCTGATGATGGATGGTGGAGAACAGGCCAGAGAGACAGCCTGATGATGGATGGTGGAGAACAGGCTAGAGAGACAGCCTGATGATGGATGGTGGAGAACAGGCTAGAGAGACAGCCTGATGATGGATGGTGGAGAACAGGCTAGAGAGACAGCCTGATGATGGATGGTGGAGAAACAGGCTAGAGAGACAGCCTGATGATGGATGGTGGAGAACAGGCTAGAGAGACAGCCTGATGATGGATGGTGGAGAACAGGCCAGAGAGACAGCCTGATGATGGATGGTGGAGAACAGGCTAGAGACAGCCAGATGATGGATGGTGGAGAACAGGCCAGAGAGACAGCCTGATGATGGATGGTGGAGAACAGGCTAGAGACAGCCTGATGATGGATGGTGGAGAACAGGCCAGAGAGACAGCCTGATGATGGATGGTGGAGAACAGGCCAGAGAGACAGCCTGATGATGGATGGTGGAGAACAGGCTAGAGAGACAGCCTGATGATGGATGGTGGAGAACAGGCCAGAGAGACAGCCTGATGATGGATAACAGGCCAGAGAGACAGCCTGATGATGGATGGTGGAGAACAGGCCAGAGAGACAGCCTGGTGATGGATGGTGTCGAACAGGCTAGAGACAGATCCTGATGATGGATGGTGGAGAACAGGCCAGAGAGACAGCCTGATGATGGATGGTGGAGAACAGGCTAGAGACAAGCCTTGATGATGGATGGTGGAGAAACAGGCCAGAGAGACAGCCTGATTGATGGATGGTGGAGAACAGGCCAGAGAGACAGCCTGATGATTGGATGGTGGAGAAACAGGCCAGAGAGACAGCCTGATGATGGATGGTGGAGAACAGGCCAGAGAGACAGCCTGATGATGGATGGTGGAGAACAGGCTAGAGACAACTGATGATGGATGGTGGAGAGCAGGCCAGAGAGACAGCCTGATGATGGACAACAGGCCAGAGAGACAACCTGATGATGGATGGGGGAGAACCATGGCAGAGAGACCAGCCTGATGAGGGATGGTGGAGAACAGCAGAGAGACAGCCTGATGATGGATGGTGGAGAACAGGCCAGAGAGACAGCCTGATGATGGATAACAGGCCAGAGAGACAGCCTGATGATGGATGTGGAGAACAGGCCAGAGAGACAGCCTGATGATGGATGGTGGAGAACAGGCCAGAGAGATAGCCTGATGATGGATGGTGGAGAAACAGGCCAGAGAGACAGCCTGATGATGGATAACAGGCCAGAGAGACAGCCTGATGATGGATGGTGGAGAACAGGCCAGAGAGACAGCCTGTTGATGGATGGTAGAGAACAGGCTAGAGCGACAGACTGATGATGGATGGTGGAGAACAGGCCAGAGAGACAGCCTGATGATGGATAACAGGCCAGAGAGACAGCCTGATGATGGATGGTGGAGAATAGGCCAGAGAGACAGCCTGATGATGGATAACAGGCCAGAGAGACAGCCTGATGATGGATGGTGGAGAACAGGCTAGAGAGACAGCCTGATGATGGATAACAGGCCAGAGAGACAGCCTGATGATGGATGGTGGAGAACAGGCTAGAGAGACAGCCTGATGATGGATGGTGGAGAACAGGCTAGAGAGACAGCCTGATGATGGATGGTGGAGAACAGGCCAGAGAGACAGCCTGATGATGGATGGTGGGAGAACAGGCCAGAGAGACAGCCTGATGATGGATGGTGGAGAACAGGCTAGAGAGACAGCCTGATGATGGATGGTGGAGAACAGGCCAGAGAGACAGCTGATGATGGATAACAGGCCAGAGAGACAGCCTGATGATGGATGGTGGAGAACAGGCTAGAGAGACAGCCTGATGATGGATGGTGGAGAACAGACCAGAGAGACAGCCTGATGATGGATGGTGGAGAACAGGCCAGAGAGACAACCTGATGATGGATGGTGGAGAACAGGCTAGAGAGACAGCCTGATGATGGATGGTGGAGAACAGGCTAGAGAGACAGCCTGATGATGGATAACAGGCCAGAGAGACAGCCTGATGATGGATGGTGGAGAACAGGCTAGAGAGACAGCCTGATGATGGATGGTGGAGAACAGGCCAGAGAGACAGCCTGATGATGGATGGTGGAGAACAGGCCAGAGAGACAACCTGATGATGGATGGTGGAGAACAGGCTAGAGAGACAGCCTGATGATGGATGGTGGAGAACAGGCTAGAGAGACAGCCTGATGATGGATGGTGGAGAACAGGCCAGAGAGACAACCTGATGATGGATGGTGGAGAACAGGCCAGAGAGACAGCCTGATGATGGATGGTGGAGAACAGGCTAGAGAGACAGCCTGATGATGGATGGTGGAGAACAGGCCAGAGAGACAACCTGATGATGGATGGTGGAGAACAGGCTAGAGAGACAGCCTGATGATGGATGGTGGAGAACAGGCCAGAGAGACAACCTGATGATGGAGAACAGGCCAGAGAGACAGCCTGATGATGGATGGTGGAGAACAGGCTAGAGAGACAACCTGATGATGGAGAACAGGCCAGAGAGACAGCCTGATGATGGATGGTGGAGAACAGGCTAGAGAGACAGCCTGTTGACAGGAAAGGATTCATTCAGACTGGGGGTGCATTCCAAACAGTACCCTATTCCCTTTATAGTGCACTACTTTTGACCAGGGCCCATAGGACTCCTGGTCCAATAGTCGTCCACTCTCTAGGGAATAGGGTGCCATTTGGGATGCAGTCTGGGTCCTGAAGGAACATACTACTACAGGCTTCTGATTCTCCTCAAGTCGCTCATGTGGTTTCAACCCCAGAACACACATATGAGAGCAGGGATGTGTTCCAAATGTCACACTATTCCATTTATAGTGCACTACTTTTAACCAGGGTCCATGGGGCTCTGGTCAAAAGTAGTGCACTATGTAGGGAATAGTGTGACATGTAGGACGCAGACTAGGACATTACAGTTGTGGTTAACTGGTCTGTCTGTCTGTCTGTCCACAGCCCAGTCCCTTCCTCAACCATTGGAAGCCACAACTATTCCTAATTACAGGAAGGAAAGAGGAGATGGTGACCAGCGAACATTTGAAACTGACTGGTCCTGAAGATGGGGGAGACAGCAGGAGAAGAGGAGGAGGAGGAGGAGAGGAGGTGGAGGAGGAGGAGAGGAGGAGGAGAGGAGGAGGAGAGGTGGATGAGGAGGAGAGGAGGAGGAGGAGAGGAGGGAGGAGGAGAGGAGGAGGAGGAGGAGGAGGCGGCGGCGGGTAGTGTGGTGAATGAGTGTCTGTTAAGGCAGGGGACACTCTGAACACATGCTAGATAGTGGTCCAAATTCAACTAGACAAGGCAGGGGACACTCTGAACACATGCTAGATAGTGATCCAAATTCAACTAGACAAGAGCTTCTTGAATTGTTGTTTGAGCTCAGAGAGAGATGATTTCTCTACACACACGACCTAGAGGACATGAAGACGGAATGAAGGACCGACTGATGGACAAACTGACGGACTGACTGACTGACGGACTGACGGACTGACTGACTGACTGACTGACTGACTGACTGACTGACTGACTGACTGACTGACGGACTGATGGACTGACGGACTGACTGACTGACTGACGGACTGACTGACGGACTGACGGATGGACTAACTGACTGACTGACGGACCGACTGATGGACTGACTGATGGACTGACGGACTGACTGACGGACTGACGGATGGGCTAACTGACTTACTGACGGACCGACTGATGGACTGATTGGCTGATAGAAAAGCAGCTAGTACAGCTAGTAGCTGTACTGTATGATGTGTGGTGAGAGCTGAGATCTGGGTTCTGAGATCTGGGTTCTGAGATCTGGGTTCTGCCCATGATGAGGTGGTGTCACACTGGCACAGACACCTTCGACCCAGGCCTTCTCACAGTCCACATACTCATCCACAACACACACTTATACATGACACCCCGTGGGCCAGAAACCTGTGTGGGTGTGTGGTATGTGTGTGCAGTATGTGTGTGCGTGCGGGAGGTGGTGTGTGTTTTACCTGGCCTGGAAGGTGAGGTGGTGCATCAGGTCATTCTCAGCGTTCAGTAGTTGTTCCTGGTGTCCCTGTCCCTGGATCAGCTGACTCTCTCTCAGCCCCAGACTTCTTTTCTCTGTGTGGATGATGACAGGGTCTGGAAGGTGGCTACGCATCATGAACAGAGGACTGAATACCACCTGGAAGAGGACAGGACACCATTAGAGACAGAGAGAGACAGACAGAGAGAGAGACAGAGAGAGAGCGAGAGAGAGAGAGGTGGTATTGCCCCTAAACAGAGAGGACACAGTGGCAGAATACATGACCACTGTGACTGACCTGAAAATAATAAGGTAGAAAGAGAGAGAGAGAGAGAGAGCGAGCGTCTGGCAGGTGACTACACATCATGAAGTGGAGGCTGCTGAGGGGAGGACAGCTCATAATAATGTCTGTTGTGAGTACAGTAGAGTAGAGAGGAGACAGAAAGAGGTCTGTTGTGAGGAGACAGAAAGAGGTCTGTTGTGAGGAGACAGAAAGAGGTCTGTTGTGAGGAGACAGAAAGAGGTATGTTGTGAGTACAGTAGAGTAGTGAGGAGACAGAAAGAGGTCTGTTGTGAGGAGACAGAAAGAGGTCTGTTGTGAGGAGACAGAAAGAGGTCTGTTGTGAGGAGACAGAAAGAGGTCTGTTGTGAGGAGACAGAAAGAGGTCTGTTGTGAGGAGACAGAAAGAGGTCTGTTGTGAGTACAGTAGAGTAGAGAGGGAGACAGAAAGAGGTCTGTTGTGAGGAGACAGAAAGAGGTCTGTTGTGAGGAGACAGAAAGAGGTCTGTTGTGAGGAGACAGAAAGAGGTCTGTTGTGAGTACAGTACAATGACAGTGGTCCCCAGCATCTACTGGGCTCTTGGTGATGATGGGAAACAGCTCTCGCTCTCTCTCTCTCTCTCTCTCTCTCTCTCTCTCTCTCTCTCTCTCTCTCTCTCTCTCTCCTCTCTCACAACCATCCTAATCTACCAAAATACTGTCTGCCTGGCATCACCGCACTGAAAACTCCCATTTCATCCTCCGTATGGACTTCTGTGCGTGCGTCCTACCTATGTGGTGGTACTGTAATCAATGACACACTGTGGTGGTTACTGAGAGGAAGCTGGAGAGAGAGAGAGCTCTATTGTAATATTGTCACCAGTGTGGTGGTTACTGAGAGGAAGCTGGAGAGAGAGAGAGCTCTATTGTAATATTGTCACCAGTGTGGTGGTTACTGAGAGGAAGCTGGAGAGAGAGAGAGCTCTATTGTAATATTGTCACCAGTGTGGTGGTTACTGAGAGGAAGCTGGAGAGAGAGAGAGCTCTATTGTAATATTGTCACCAGTGTGTGTGTCAGTCTGAGTGATGTTGTGGCACTGCAACCCAAAATAACAAGAGACACGTCTCAAAACAAACCCTCTCTGTGTTGAGACTCTGGGAAAGAGCTGGGGTGTTAAAGGACGGTGTTAGAGTTAAAGGACGGTGTTAGAGATAGAGGACGGTGTTAAAGTTAGAGGACGGTGTTAGAGTTAGAGGACGGTGTTAGAGATAGAGGACGGTGTTAGAGTTAGAGGACGGTGTTAGAGTTAGAGGACGGTGTAGAGTTAAAGGACGGTGTTAGAGATAGAGGACGGTGTTAGAGATAGAGGACGGTGTTAGAGTTAGAGGACGGTGTTAGAGTTAGAGGACGGTGTTAGAGTTAAAGGACGGTGTTAGAGTTAGAGGACGGTGTTAGAGTTAGAGGACGGTGTTAGATATAGAGGACGGTGTTAGAGTTAGAGGACGGTGTTAGAGTTAGAGGACGGTGTTAGAGTTAGAGGACGGTGTTAGAGTTAAAGGACGGTGTTAGAGTTAGAGGACGGTGTTAGAGTTAGAGGACGGTGTTAGAGTTAAAGGACGGTGTTAGAGTTAGAGGACGGTGTTAGAGATAGAGGACGGTGTTAGAGTTAGAGGACGGTGTTAGAGTTAGAGGACGGTGTTAGAGTTAAAGGACGGTGTTAGAGGTTAGAGGACGGTGTTCGAGTTAGAAGGACGGTGTTAGAGTTAGAGGACGGTGTTAGGTTAAGGACGGTGTTAGAGTTATAGGACGGTGTTAGAGTTAGAGGACGGTGTTAGAGTTAGAGGACGGTGTTAGAGTTAGAGGACGGTGTTAGAGTTAGAGGACGGTGTTAGAGTTAAAGGACGGTGTTAGAGTAGAGACGGTGTTAGAGTTAGAGGACGGTGTTAGAGTTAAAGGACGTGTTAGAGTTAGAGGACGGTGTTAGAGTTAGAGGACGGTGTTAGAGTTAGAGGACGGTGTTAGAGTTAGAGGACGGTGTTAGAGTTAGAGGACGGTGTTAGAGTTAAAGGACGGTGTTAGAGTTAGAGGACGGTGTTAGAGTTAGAGGACGGTGTTAGAGTTAGAGGACGGTGTTAGAGTTAGAGGACGGTGTTAGAGTTAAAGGACGGTGTTAGAGTTAAAGGACGGTGGTTAGGAGTTTAGAGGACGGTGTTAGAGTTTAAAGGACGGTGTTAGAGTTAGAGGACGGTGTTAGAGTTAGAGGACGGTGTTAGAGATAGAGGACGGTGTTAGAGATAGAGGACGGTGTTAGAGTTAGAGGGCGGTGTTAGAGTTAGAGGACGGTGTTAGAGTTAAAGGACGGTGTTAGAGTTAGAGGACGGTGTTAGAGTTAAAGGACGGTGTTAGAGTTAGAGGACGGTGTTAGAGTTAGAGGACGGTGTTAGAGTTAGAGGACGGTGTTAGAGTTAGAGGACGGTGTTAGAGTTAGAGGACGGTGTTAGAGATAGAGGACGGTGTTAGAGTTAGAGGACGGTGTTAGAGTTAAAGGACGGTGTTAGAGTTAGAGGACGGTGTTAGAGTTAGAGGACGGTGTTAGAGTTAGAGGATGGTGTTAGAGATAGAGGACGGTGTTAGAGTTAGAGGACGGTGTTAGAGTTAAAGGACGGTGTTAGAGTTAGAGGACGGTGTTAGAGTTAGAGGATGGTGTTAGAGATAGAGGACGGTGTTAGAGTTAGAGGATGGTGTTAGAGTTAAAGGACGGTGTTAGAGTTAGAGGACGGTGTTAGAGTTAGAGGACGGTGTTAGAGTTAAAGGACGGTGTTAGAGTTAGAGGACGGTGTTAGAGTTAGAGGATGGTGTTAGAGATAGAGGACGGTGTTAGAGTTAGAGGACGGTGTTAGAGTTAAAGGACGGTGTTAGAGTTAGAGGACGGTGTTAGAGTTAGAGGACGGTGTTAGAGTTAGAGGATGGTGTTAGAGATAGAGGACGGTGTTAGAGTTAGAGGACGGTGTTAGAGTTAGAGGACGGTGTTAGAGTTAAAGGACGGTGTTAGAGTTAAAGGACGGTGTTAGTTAAAGGACGGTGTTAGAGTTAGAGGACGGTGTTAGAGTTAGAGGACGGTGTTAGAGGGATGGTGGGGACACGGGCTGCACCCTATTTCCTACAGTATATATTGACTAGGGACACTATGGGCTCTGATAGAAAGTAGTGCACTATATAGGGAATAGGGTGCCATTTCAGACGCAGACCTGACCTGGATGGCTATACTCACCACTCTCTGCTGCATGTGAGAGTCAGGTTCCATGGTGATCAGGGTACACCACACGTAGAACAATGAGCCGCTGGAACAAGGCACCTGCAAGGAGACCAACCCACACCATTAGATAGTACAGCTACTATTCTCACCTCTGACCTGGCAATAAACAATTACCTTAGAGACTGCTTTGCCCTATTAAACACTGGTCCTATATAAATACTGCTGTACAAACCTTTTCTATTCATATACTGTCCATACTGTCTATACACACCATCCTATATAACTACTGCTGTACACACCTTTTCTATTCATATTCTATCTATACCATTATGTATATATATTCCGGACTCTTTTTGGATTATGCGCATATTGTTTTGTATTGTTGGAGCTAGAAACACAAGCATATAGCTAGGTAATACTGCACTGTTGGAGTTAGAAACACAAGCATATAGCTAGGTATTACTGCACTGTTGGAGTTAGAAACACAAGCATATAGCTAGGTATTACTGCACTGTTGGAGCTAGAAACACACGCATATAGCTAGGTATTACTGTACTGTTGGAGTTAGGAACACAAGCATATAGCTAGGAATTACTGCACTGTTGGAGTTAGAAACACACGCATATAGCTAGGTATTACTGCACTGTTGGAGTTAGAAACACAAGCATATAGCTAGGTATTACTGCACTGTTGGAGCTAGAAACACAAGCATATAGCTAGGTATTATTGCACTGTTGGAGCTAGAAACACAAGCATATAGCTAGGTATTACTGCACTGTTGGAGTTAGAAACACAAGCATATAGCTAGGTATTACTGCACTGTTGGAGCTAGAAACACAAGCATATAGCTAGGTAATACTGCACTGTTGGAGTTAGAAACACAAGCATATAGCTAGGTATTACTGCACTGTTGGAGTTAGAAACACAAGCATATAGCTAGGTATTACTGCACTGTTGGAGTTAGAAACACACGCATATAGCTAGGTATTACTGCACTGTTGGAGTTAGAAACACAAGCATATAGCTAGGTATTACTGCACTGTTGGAGTTAGAAACACACGCATATAGCTAGGTATTACTGCACTGTTGGAGCTAGAAACACACGCATATAGCTAGGTATTACTGCACTGTTGGAGTTAGAAACACACGCATATAGCTAGGTATTACTGCACTGTTGGAGTTAGAAACACACGCATATAGCTAGGTATTACTGCACTGTTGGAGCTAGAAACACAAGCATATAGCTAGGTATTACTGCACTGTTGGAGTTAGAAACACAAGCATATAGCTAGGTATTACTGCACTGTTGGAGCTAGAAACACACGCATATAGCTAGGTATTACTGCACTGTTGGAGTTAGAAACACAAGCATATAGCTAGGTATTACTGCACTGTTGGAGCTAGAAACACAAGCATATAGCTAGGTATTACTGCACTGTTGGAGTTAGAAACACAAGCATATAGCTAGGTATTACTGCACTGTTGGAGCTAGAAACACAAGCATATAGCTAGGTATTACTGCATTGTTGGAGTTAGAAACACAAGCATATAGCTAGGTATTACTGCACTGTTCGAGCTAGAAACACACGCATATAGCTAGGTATTACTGCACTGTTGGAGCTAGAAACACAAGCATATAGCTAGGTATTACTGCATTGTTGGAGTTAGAAACACAAGCATATAGCTAGGTATTACTGCACTGTTCGAGCTAGAAACACACGCATATAGCTAGGTATTACTGCACTGTTGGAGCTAGAAACACAAGCATATAGCTAGGTATTACTGCACTGTTGGAGTTAGAAACACAAGCATATAGCTAGGTATTACTGCACTGTTGGAGCTAGAAACACAAGCATATAGCTAGGTATTACTGCACTGTTGGAGCTAGAAACACAAGCATATAGCTAGGTATTACTGCACTGTTGGAGCTAGAAACACACGCATATAGCTAGGTATTACTGCACTGTTGGAGCTAGAAACACAAGCATATAGCTAGGTATTACTGCACTGTTGGAGCTAGAAACACAAGCATATAGCTAGGTATTACTGCACTGTTGGAGTTAGAAACACACGCATATAGGTAGGTATTACTGCACTGTTGGAAATGGAAACACAAGCATATAGCTAGGTAATACTGTACTGTTGGAGCTAGAAACACAAGCATTTCACTGCACCTGAGATAACATCTGCAAATCTGTGTACGGGACCAATAAACGTTGATTTGGTGTACAGCAGTAGTGTGTAAAAAGTTCTAATAACTAAACTGAATGATCAATGTTCTAGAAGAGGTTAAAGAGGCTAGAGGAAACAGCAATGCCTAAACCCCTGTCATGTCAAAGGTCATCAAGGTCAGAGTTCACCCACGGCACCACCACCGGAGATCAACATGTTTGTGTCCTGTGGTGGAGAGAAGTGTATCAGGACATCTGTAATGACCAACGTGCCGTGGAGCGCCCTAACTAACCCACCCCACTGAGTCACATCATGTTCATAGTCCCCCAACGTGATCATGTTCTGTCCCCAACATGGGCTCCAAGGCTTTCTGAAGCTGTACAACAGGACCCACACAAAGCTCCAGTACTTCAACACCATCCAACAGCTAAGTCCAATGACAATTTAACTGTTAGCGCGGGATAATAGCCTATTAAACTCTGTCAGATCTGAGAAGATTTAAAAGCAGAAAATGTGCCCTTCAGAATGGTTAATGGTCGTGGGTCGCATCCCAAATGGAACCCTATTCCCTACATAGTGCACTACTTTTTACCAGGGCCCCACAGACTTCTGGTCAAAAGTAGTGCACTATGTAGGGAATAGGGTGGAATTTGGGATGCGAGTCTTAACGTTTCACTGGCTCTATTCCCCTCTACCCTGACTCCTCGTTAAGACCTCACCATGCCAAGGCCGTTACAACGCAGCGTAATTTACGGTCAGCTAGGGACTTCATTTAACTGTGGACAAAACACCAGGCATGAACACAATAACGAACATTTAGTTCTGTTCTGTTCAGCTCTGACATTGGCCTCGGTTCCTCTTGGGTGAAGGATAACACACAGAGGGTGAAAAACACTGGCAAGCATCGCACTGCTAGACACACAGGCCTGGTCCACCAACACCAAGGTTACAGACCTAGTTATGAGTTTCTATCAGGAGATAACATCAGACGAAGAGGGAAGAGAAGAGAGGCAGTAAAAGAGGGTATGAGAAAAAGAAGGAGAGATGGTGCCTGCAGAGAGAAGGAGAGATGGTGCCTGAAGAGAGAAGGAGAGATGGTGCCTGAAGAGAGAAGGAGAGATGGTGCCTGAAGAGAGAAGGAGAGATGGTGCCTGCAGAGAGAAGGAGAGATTTTTTTTGTCCAATAAAATAACATCAAATTGATCGGAAATACAGTGTAGACATTGTTAATGTTGTAAATGGATATTGTAGCTGGAAATGGCAGATTTTTAATGGAATATCTACATAGGCGTACAGAGGCCCATTATCAGCAACCATCAGTCCTGTGTTCCAATGGCACGTTGTGTTTGCTAATCAAAGTTTATCATTTTAAAAGGCTAATCGATCATTAGAAAACCCTTTTGCAATTACGTTAGCACAGCTGAAAACTGTTGTGCTGATTAAAGAAGCAATAAAACTGGCCTTCTTGAGACTAGTTAAGTATCTGGAGCATCAGCAATTGTGGGTTCGATTACAGGCTCAAAATGGCTAGAAACAAATAACTTTCTTCTGAAACTCGTCAGAAGATGAAGATGGGCAGTCTGAGATATGGCTTTTTCTTTAGAAAACAAGGACATTTCTAAGTGACCCCAAACTTTTGAATGGTAGTGCAAATGTATTCACCCCCTTTGGCATTTTTCCTATTTTGTTGCCTTACAACCTGGAATTAAAATTGATTTTTGGGGGGTTTGTATCATTTGATTTACACAACATGCCTACCACTTTGAAGATGCAAAATATGTTTTATTGTGAAACAAACAAGAAATAACACAAAAAAAACAGAAAACTTGAGCATGCATAACTATTCACCCCCCCAAAAGGCAATACTTTGTAGAGCCACCTTTTGCAGCAATTTCAGCTGCAAGTCTCTTGGGGTATGTCTCTATAAGCTTGGCACATCTAGCCACTGGGATTTTTGCCCATTCTTCAAGGCAAAACTGCTCCATCTCCTTCAAGTTGGATGGGTTCCGCTGGTGTACAGCAATCTTTAAGTCATACCACAGATTCTCAATTGGATTGATGTCTGGGCTTTGACTAGGCCATTCCAAGACATTTAAATGTTTCCCCTTAAACCACTTGAGTGTTGCTTTAGCAGTATGCTTAGGGTCATTGTCCTGCTGGAAGGTGAACCTCCGTCCCAGTCTCAAATCTCGGGAAGACCGAAACAGGTTTCACCATCAATCATTCCTTCAATTCTGACCAATTTCCCAGTCCCTGCCGATGAAAAACATCCCCACAGCATGATGCTGCCACCACCATGCTTCACTGTGGGGATGGTGTTCTCGGGGTGATGAGAGGTGTTGAGTTTGCGCCAGACATAGCGTTTTCCTTGATGGCCAAAAAGCTCAATTTTAGTCTCATCTGACCAGAGTACCTTTTTCCATGTGTTTGGGGAGTCTCCCACATGCTTTTTGGCGAACATCAAACGTGTTTGCTTATTTATTTCTTTAAGCAATGGCTTTTTTCTGGCCACTCTTCCGTAAAGCCCAGCTCTGTGGAGTGTACGGCTTGAAGTGGTCATATGGACAGATTCTCCAATTTCCGCTGTGGAGCTTTGCAGCTCCTTCAGGGTTATTGTTGGTCTCTTTGTTGCCTCTGATTAATGCCCTCCTTGCCTGGTCCGTGAGTTTTGGTGGGCGGCCCTCTCTTGGCAGGTTTGTTGTGGTGCCATTTCCATTTTTTAAATAATGGATTTAGTGGTGGTCCGTGGGATGTTCAAAGTTTCTGATATTTTTTTAGAACCCAACCCAACCCAACTTCTCCACAACTTTGTCCCTGACCTGTTTGGAGAGCTCCTTGGTCTTCATGGTGCCGCTTGCTTGGTGGTGCCCCTTGCTTAGTGGTGTTGCAGACTCTGGGGCCTTTCAGAACAGGTGTATATATACTGAGATCATGTGACAGATCATGTGACACTTAGATTGCACACAGGTGGACTTTATTTAACTAATTATGTGACTTCTGAAGGTAATTGGTTGCACCAGATCTTATTTAGGGGCTTCATAGCAAAGGGGGTGAATACTTATGCACGCACCACTTTTCCATTATTGTTTTCTTAGAATTTTTTGAAACAAGTTATTTTTTTCATTTCACTTCACCAATTTGGACTATTTTGTGTATGTCCATTACATTAAATTACAGGTTGTAATGCAACAAAATAGGAAAAACGTCAAGGGGGGTGAATACTTTTGCAAGGCACTGTATATATACAGAGAGAGGGAGAGAGAGAGAGAGAGAGAGAGACGCTAAATTCTACAACCACTTAAAAGGAAGTGATTCCCAAACCTTCCATAACAAAGCCATCACCTACAGAGAGATGAACCTGGAGAAGAGTCCCCTAAGCAAGCTGGTCCTGGGGCTCGGTTAACAAACACAAACAGACCCCACAGAGCCCCAGGACATCAACACAATTAGACCCAACCAAATCATGAGAAAACAAAAATATAATTACTTGACACACAGTGGCAGAATACCTGACCAATGTGACTGACCCAAACTTAAGGAAAGCTTTGACTATGTACAGACTCAGTGAGCATAGCCTTGCTATTGAGAAACACATGTTTTCCTCAGATTATAGCCTTGCACATTAGAGACACATGTTTTCCTCAGATTACACAGATTCACAAAGAATTTGAAATCAAATCCAATTTTGATAAACTCCCATATCTATTGTGCGAAATACCAGTGTGCCATCACAGCAGCAAGATTTGTGACCTGTTGCCACAAGAAAAGGGCAACCAGTGAAGAACAAACACCATTGTAAATACAACCCATATTTATGTTTATTTATTTTCCCATTTGTACTTTAACTATTTGCACATTGTTACAACACTGTATATAGACATAATATGACATTTGAAATGTCTTTATTCTTTTGGAACTTCTGAGTGTAATGTTTACTGTTAATATTTATTGTTTATTTCACTTTTGTTTACTATCTACTTCACTTGGTGGTGTTGAAAATGATTGTGGGGAGAGAGTCTGGTGTGTGTGTGTGCTTCTGTGTGTTTAGGTGTGTGTGTGTGTGCTTCTGTGTGTTTAGGTGTGTGTGTGTGTATCTGTGTATGCACTCACCTGTACCACAGAGCTGCCCCCCCTTTCCTTCTCCTTCCTCTCCAGTCTGACATCCCGAGACCAGTCCTCATCTCCTCTGGCTCTGACACACAGCTCTGTCATCTCTGAGTCCTCCAGGACGTATGAGGGCAGCTTCCTCCCAGCCTCCAGACAGTCAGCATGTTCCTTAACCACCGTCTGGCCATCTGGATTCACATAGTGCTGCACCACCCGCAGATCAATGTCCTGAGACAGGTAGCTACACATCACCTGACGACCACAGATTATTATCTAGAGAGAGAGAGAGAGAGAGAGAGAGAGAGAGAGAGGAGAGATAGAGAGGAGAAGAGATGAAAGAGGCAGAGATAGACATGAAGCTATTCGAGATAGATCTACAGATAGAGATAGATAGAGACTATCGAGCTAGTAGACAAGAGAGAGATATCTAGATAGGAGGAGAGAAAGAGAGAAGAGGAAGATAGATATAGAGATCGAGCAGAGAGGGATGTTTATGTTAGAGTCAAGTAGACTTATGGAGAATCAGGTTATTCATCAACACACTGATTAAGTTGGTGATGGGTTAAATCAGTAAAAGAGTCCTTACAAGCCCCTGTACTCCAAGACCTATGGCATTATCAAAGCCCCACTGGCAGTATGGGTCCTGCCTGCTGCTGCCTCCCAGCCTGATGCTTTTCTGAAGACACTGTGTAAAATCTGTCACTATCACTGCAGACAGACCAGAGTGGAGCAGACAGCAGCAGAATCCTCTGTCCCCCTGTTTCTCCCTGTCCTCTACAGAACACCACAGCCAAGTCACAAATGGAACCTAATCCCCTATGGGTCCTGGTCAAAAGTAGTGCACTACATAGGGAATAGGGTGCCATTTGGGACGAAGCCCACAACTCCCCCTGGCCCCTGTACAGCTCTAACCCAGCTCAGTCACCAGGGAGCCCTCATCTGGTCCTGACACTTCTAATTGAGCTCACAATTGATTGTTTCCACCACCCCGTGTGTGTGTTCTCTGGGTGGTGGTGGTGGTAATGGTGGTGAGGAGCGAGATTGCTCTCTGAAGAGAGAGACTTCTCCTGCTCATCAATCATCCTTTTATAGCCCTTCTCACAGCTCACAGGCTCTCAGTCACGTAATCACACTCACACACACACACACACACACACACACTCTTGAGGAGCACTCAACAGGCGTTAACTGTGAATGAACCTCTACACACTGTGTCTAACTGAATCCTGTCTAACTGAATCCACTAATTGGATCACATCCTGTCGTGGTGACAACTCCACTAACTGGATCCCCTCCTGTCTGTGGTGACAACTCCACTAATTGGATCACATCCTGTCTGTGGTGACAACTCCACTAACTGGATCACCTCCTGTCTGTCTGTGGTGACAACTCCACTAACTGGATCCCCTCCTGTCTGTCTGTGGTGACAACTCCACTAACTGGATCACCTCCTGTCTGTCTGTGGTGACAACTCCACTAACTGGATCACCTCCTGTCTGTCTGTGGTGACAACTCCACTAACTGGATCACCTCCTGTCTGTCTGTGGTGACAACTCCACTAACTGGATCCCCTCCTGTCTGTCTGTGGTGACAACTCCACTAACTGGATCACCTCCTGTCTGTCTGTGGTGACAAACTCCACTAACTGGATCACCCTCCTGTCTGTCTGTGGTGACAACTCCACTAACTGGATCACCTCCTGCCTGTCTGTGGTGACAACTCCACTAACTGGATCACCTCCTGTCTGTCTGTGGTGACAACTCCACTAACTGGATCACCTCCTGTCTGTCTGTGGTGACAACTCCACTAACTGGATCAACTCCTGTCTGAAGGAGGAGACATGGTTCTGTTCAGGGTCTGAAGAGAAGAGAACTGTAGTGTGACACAGAGAAAGACCCAGAACAAGATCAAGATGAGCTCTGCTCACACACACACACACACACACACGCACGCACGCACACACACGCCCACGCGTACACACGTGCACACGTACACGCGCACACGTGCACGCGCATGCACACACACACACACACACACACACACCACACACACACACACACACACACACACACACACACACACACACACACACACACTCCTCCCACAGCCAGCCTGTGACCAGAGACATCTTCTGTTGCTGTAGCAGCTGTCACAATCTCAGGCTGTGTGTTGGGGATTGGATGTGACCAGGACTCATACCCCATCATTGTAGCCAATGAGAACTAGATGTCGGAGCGGACAAGTATAGAATGTACTCAGTGGCTGTTTGGTCTGTGGTGGGAGCAATTCGAACATGGTTAGTACATTATTCGTGGTGAAATGTGTTTTATCTAACACAAACCGGTCATCTCGTTTCAGAGATGACATTCTCTGTTTTTGGAGAAGTGAGCAAACATTGTGGATGGCTGGAGGGTTTTCAGAGTTTTCCTTAAACATGTTGTAATATTAACAGGATGTTGTTCTCAGACTGTGTGTCTTTTAACAACAGTTGTATTAAACAGGTGTGTTCCAGATAGTGTTCTCTTGTAGACAACAATTGTAATATGAACGTTGTTGTTTCAGATAGTGTTGCTCTGTAACAACAATTGTGATTGGAAACGGATGTGTTTCAGATGTGTTCCCTTTGTAACAACAGATTGTAATATGAAACAGGATGTAGTTCTCAGACTAGTGTTCTCTTTGTAACAACAGATTGTAATATGAAACAGGATGTAGTTCTCAGACTAGTGTTCCTTTGTAACAACAGATTGTAATATGAAACAGGATGTAGTTCTCGGACCATCAGGCATCACACACAGTAGAATGTCACAACAGGAGGATGGGTTGCACATTAATTGCCTTTTGGGAACAATAAAGCTTTATTGAATTGAATAGAATACGGTACCTGTTTCTGGACAGCGTTGAGCTGCAACACCTTGATGATGAGGGAGGCGGTCCGTCCTTTATATTGAATAGTCCTCAACAGAGACCCCACGTTGTCCACACTGAAGGCCTCAGACCAACGCCAGTTACCCCACCCCTCTATACAGATGTGAAGGAGCTGGAGGAGAGGAGGAGGGGAGGAGGAGTGGAGAGAAGAGACTAACATTAACATACAGTAATCAAGAGTATTTCCGCCCTTACAGTATTTATGCCAGAGCAGTATTTATGCCAGTGCAGAAGGCAACAAGTCAACAGAATTATTTTTGTTTAGAGATCTCTGTTGAGGAAAAATCCTTCTGTTTATTGGATTGAACATGTTCTGAATGCCGGTGGTGTTGACACTGAAGCAGTCCCACACAATAAACTGGCTGATGAGTTCCAGCACCATGCAGCTGGGCTTGTCATCCACACGTCTAAATAAGAGACCCATACTGGCAGATACTCATCTTAGTTACATCTGCATATCATAGTTACATCTTCATATCATAGTTACATCTTCATATCATAGTTACATCTGTCATATCATAGTTACATCTTCATATCATAGTTACATCTGCATATCATAGTTACATCTTCATAGTTACATCTGCATATCATAGTTACATCTATAGCTCCTTCATATCATAGTTACATCTTCATATCATAGTTACATCTGCATATCATAGTTACATCTTCATAGCTCCATCTGCATATCATAGTTACATCTTCATAGCTCCATCTGCATATCATAGTTACATCTTCATATCATAGTTACATCTTCATATCATAGCTCCATCTTCATATCATAGCTTACATCTTCATATCATAGCTCCATCTTCATATCATAGTTACATCTTCATATCATGTTCATCTTCATATATCTTTCATCTTCATAATCTATTATCTCATATCATAGCTCCATCTTCATATCATAGTTACATCTTCATATCATAGTTACATCTTGCATATCATAGTTACATCTTCATATCATAGCTCCATATTCATAGTTACATCTTCATATCATAGTTACATCTTCATATCATAGTTACATCTGCATATCATAGTTACATCTTCATATCCATCACATCACTAGAGACTGGGAGTGTGGAAGAACACAGAAATTATTATTTTTTGTCTGTAAAACCATGAGATCATTGATGGATTAACAAAGTGCTTTTATGAGCTGTGTTGCTGTATTTGAGGAAGTGTGTGTTTTAAACAACCAGCCAGATCAAGAGCTCCTGAGGACAAAACAGATCAATACTAAGAGATATCTGAACTATAACACAACCCCTCCATGGTAGATGTCTGAACTATAACCCCTCCATGGTAGATGTCTGAACTATAACACAACCCCTCCATGATACGACCTCCTGACCTCTAACCCCGGTCAACCCTCTGACGGGGTCCACGTTTCTGTCAACATTACGTAAGAGCAACTGACAAAAAAATAGGAGGAGAGAGAGAGGAGGAGAGAGAGAGGAGAGAGAGAGAAAGGAGGAGAGAGGAGGAGAGAGAGAAAGAGAGAGAGAGGGAGAGAGGGGAGAGAGGAGGAGAGGAGACGAATAGGAGGAGAGAGAGAGGAGAGAGAAAGAGAGGAGAGAGAGAGAGGAGGAGAGAGGAGAGTGAGAGGAGGAGAGAGAAGAGGAGCGAGAGGAAAGAGACGAGGAGAGAGAGAGGAGGAGAGAGAGAGGAGAGAGTGAGAGAGAGGAGGAGAGAGAGGAGGGGAAAACCACACATCCCCAAGGGGCCAGGTTGAAAGAGTGAAAACCTTTTTGAAGATTTACACTTGGGTCGTTCTTTAAATGTGCTGAACATTTACCCAAACTGTAAAGAAAAACAAATTAGCTGTGAGGTCAGGAAGGTAGACAGAGGGACTTGGTCAGGTCAGGGCCTTGACACACACACACACACACACACATTCTTTGAACCTCTCTGAACTCCACACTGCCTCTCCTCTGAACAGAGATCCCATTACAATAACACCACTAATCAAAGCCTCAATTCAGTTACTCCCAGATCATCATCCTAGTCGCTCAGCCGAGTCGGCCTTCTAAGTGGAAATGACATAATTTCTCAGATCCTCGGGCGGGCTGGCCTGCGGGCGTTGTGGAATTACTCCCAGGGAAGAAGTGGCAAAGTGGTGTAAACATCAGAGAGAGGACCGGAGGAGAGGAAAGAGAGGAGTGGAGGAGAGGAGAGGAGAGGAGAGGAGAGGAGAGGGAGGACTGGAGGAGAGGAGAGGGAGGAACTGGAGGAGAGGAGACGAGAGGACTGGAGGAGAGGAGAGAGAGGGCTGGAGGAGAAGAGAAGAGGAGGGGCTGGAGGAGAAGAGAGAGAAGAGACGGTGGAGAGGAGAGAGAGGGCTGGAGGAGAGGAGAGAGAGGACTGGAGGAGAGGAGAGAGAGGACTGGAGGAGAGGAGAGAGAGGACTGGAGGAGAGGAGAGAGAGGGCTGGAGGAGAGGAGAGAGAGGGCTGGAGGAGAGGAGAGAGAGGACTGGAGGAGAGGAGAGAGAGGGCTGGAGGAGAGGAGAGAGAGGGCTGGAAGAGAGGAGAGAGAGGGCTGGAGGAGAGGAGAGAGAGGGCTGGAGGAGAGGAGAGAGAGGGCTGGAGGAGAGGAGAGAGAGGGCTGGAGGAGAGGAGAGCACCTCAGGCCCATCTGTGGAGAGGAGAGTTTGTTATTTCAACAGCCCCTCCCTTCCTCCCCCGGTCCGTTTTATCATGCCTGTGGCTGGCTGTGACCTTTAGGGAACAGCCATAATAACGTCTCTCTCCCCTCAGACTTCAAATGGCTGCTGACTCTCTCATTTGAGTTCAGCGTCGTTCCAAGCGGCTAAACACAGTGACACCACTGATCTGGACACGTAGGAAAACAACACGGTCAAAATGAAAGGTGCTGCCTGGGCTGAGTTCCTAATGACACCTTATTCCCTTTATAGTGCACTACTTTAGACAAAGAAGTAGTGCATAATGTAGGGAATAGGGTGCCATTTGGGACGCACCCCTGGCCTGGTCTGGTCTGCCAGAGACTGGGGAACTGCAGCGAGCGGAGCAGAGCGACACTGTCTGACGAAATGTACAACATGTCCTCTTGGCTGGCTATGTTTTTCTGTTCTGTTTCACCCCGGAGGAGAGGTTCACTTAGAAACACAGCTAAGTCACCCCAGAAGAGAGGTTCACTTAGAAACACAGCCAAGTCACACCGAGGAGAGGTTCACTTAGAAACACCAGCCCTGGAGGAAGGTTCACTAGAACACAGCCAAGTCACCAGAGGAGAGGTTCACTTAGAAACACAGCCAAGTCACCCCAGAGGAGAGGTTCACTTAGAAACACAGCCAAGTCACCCCGAGGAGAGGTTCACTTAGAAACACAGCCAAGTCACCCCGAGGAGAGGTTCACTTAGAAACACAGCCAAGTCACCCCGGAGGAGAGGTTCACTTAGAAACACAGCCAAGTCACCCCGGAGGAGAGGTTCACTTAGAAACACAGCCAAGTCACCCCGGAGGAGAGGTTCACTTAGAAACACAGCCAAGTCACCCGGAGGAGGTTCCTTAGAAACACAGCCAGTCACCCGAGGAGAGGTCACTTAGAACACAGCCAAGTCACCCCGGAGGAGAGGTTCACTTAGAAACACAGCCAAGTCACCCCGGAGGAGAGGTTCACTTAGAAACACAGCCAAGTCACCCGAGGAGAGGTTCACTTAGAAACACAGCCAAGTCACCCTGGAGGAGAGGTTCACTTAGAAACACAGCCAAGTCACCCCGAGGAGAGGTTCACTTAGAAACACAGCCAAGTCACCCCGGAGGAGAGGTTCACTTAGAAACACAGCCAAGTCACCCCGGAGGAGAGGTTCACTTAGAAACACAGCCCAAGTCACCACCGGAGGAGAGGTTCACTTAGAAACACAGCCAAGTCACCCCGGAGGAGAGGTTCACTTAGAAACACAGCCAAGTCACCCCGGAGGAGAGGTTCACTTAGAAACACAGCCAAGTCACCCTGGAGGAGAGGTTCACTTAGAAACACAGCCAAGTCACCCCGAGGAGAGGTTCACTTAGAAACACAGCCAAGTCACCCCGAGGGGAGGTTCACTTAGAAACACAGCCAAGTCACCCCTGGAGGAGAGGTTCACTTAGAAAACACAGCCAAGTCACCCCGAGGAGAGGTTCACTTAGAAACACAGCCAAGTCACCCCGGAGGAGAGGTTCACTTAGAAACACAGCCAAGTCACCCCGGAGGAGAGGTTCACTTAGAAACACAGCCAAGTCACCCCGGAGGAGAGGTTCACTTAGAAACACAGCCAAGTCACCCCGGAGGAAAGGTTCACTTAGAAACACAGCCAAGTCACACCGAGGAGAGGTTCACTTAGAAACACAGCCAAGTCACACCGAGGAGAGGTTCACTTAGAAACACAGCCAAGTCACACCGAGGAGAGGTTCACTTAGAAACACAGCCAAGTCACCCTGGAGGAGAGGTTCACTTAGAAACACAGCCAAGTCACACCGAGGAGAGGTTCACTTAGAAACACAGCCAAGTCACACCGAGGAAAGGTTCACTTAGAAACACAGCCAAGTCACACCGAGGAGAGGTTCACTTAGAAACACAGCCAAGTCACACCGAGGAGAGGTTCACTTAGAAACACAGCCAAGTCACCCTGGAGGAGAGGTTCACTTAGAAACACAGCCAATTCACCCAGAGGAGAGGTTCACTTAGAAACACAGCCAAGTCATTCCAGAGAGGCATATGCCTTAATGTCTTAGCAGAGCAGAACAGAACAGGAACCCAGAACCAACCCAAAACCCAGCTCCTTCACAATATCTCCTGGACTATTAATATGACCACAGTGCCAGCACAGCAGGGATCATCAACTAGATTCAGCAGTTTTTTTTTTGCTCAGAAAAACTTGGGATGCCAAATAAAATCACCCGTGGGTTAAATTTGTCCCGCGGGCCACCAGTTGGGGAACCCTGCAGTACAGGGTGAGTCAGACATACACTAAGACAAACAGGAGAGAGAGAGAAAGAAGCTGGATGGTATCAGAACAGGGTTATTACAGTACTATCCCTAACCCTGGACATCTGACTGCTTCTCTTCATGTTTTAGACCCACACCAGAAAACAACAAGGATCACAGGAACAGGGATATTTCTGTCTGAATTCATTACTGCTGTAGCCTTGTCGCTGTGCTTTCTTCAGTAAATTAGTCTAAATTGAACTGACTACTAGTTCTCTATTTCACCTTCAGTAAAGTCCTGGCTAAAACGGTTTGGTCAATCAGTTCCCTGAAGTAGTAGTAGTTGTATACTTTCAATGAAAAGACACTTCAAAACACATCTCTGAGCCGTCGTACCACTTAACCAGATTACAGGAGATGGAGTGTGATTACTGCTGGCTTGGTTGAGAGGCCAGCTTCCAGTATGTTACTGGCTTCCAGTTACCATGTCTGTGTCCCAA